TAACGTTCTCCCTGCCCGGCCTCGTCTATCTTCCATTTCCCTACCCTCTATGACCTTGGAGGATTCCAGTGTTCCTGCTCAGCCTCTTCTATCTTCCATTTCCCTAGGCTCTATCACCCTGGAAAACAACGTCTATCCTGTAGAGCTGCTCCTAGCTACCTTATTAGTTTCTAGGGCTCGTGAGGACCTTCATGTTGTCTCACAGAAAATCCTGGGCTCGCAGTCATGGCCTATATGGTTCCAGAAGGAGTACGATGTTCTTGCAGAGTCCCATCTAGCTTCCTGTCTTCCAGGCTGTCTGATCCTTTCAGAGTCCTTCAGACCCCCTGCTCACGCTCTGCCTGGATTGTTTTGAAGTACAGAACATGACACGTTTTAATGGCAGAAATTAAGGAACGAAAACCCTGAGCTAAAACTATTTATTTTAGCCATGTTACACCAGCAGTGATCCCGCCTGAACACACGTTACCAGTGTGGCAGATATTGCAAACACATGTGGCCTCTTCAAGGAACCGTTGTTTCCACCTGATAAATGTTATCTGTATGCTGCACCCGGAGCCTGAAAGTATGAAACCTGCAGCGGCTACTAACTTGAGATGGGTCAGACAAAACAGGCCCAGAGTACGTTCACAGACCTTTGTATCAGTGTGTGTGTTGTGTGGTCCCCAGCTCCCTGCGTGGATTTCCTGGGGGATCTGGGAAGATCAATCCCTATGTGTGGTTACGCAGATTCCCAGCCTTTGAAACCTTGCCTCGTGGAACAGCTGATTTTACCTGCTTGGGAACAAATCTGGGGGGTAGATAAGGTGAGTTTAAACAGACTCACTTATTTTGATCCAACAAACTGACATGAATTTTTAAACCATAGGTCACACCAAGAACTTGCCGGGGTCTCTGTGGCTGTGTCCAGACTCCGGGGTTTTTTCGAAAAAACTTCACCTGCGTCTAGACTGCAGCTGCGTTCTTTCGAAATTAAATCGAAAGAAAGCGGCTTTTCTTTCGACGGTGGTAAACCTAATTCCACGAGGAAGAACGCCTTCTTTCGAAAGTGCTCTTTCGAAAGAAGGCGTTCTTGACAGCAAACAGGCTTTTTAGAAAGAGAGCATCCAGACTCACTGGGTGCTTTCTTTCGAAAACGCGGCTTGCTTTTTCGAAATTCCGCGTGCAGCTCTTTCGAAAGAGGCTTGCAGTCTAGACATAGCCTGTGAGACAGACGGGGGAGACGGGGGGGACGACCTCTAAGCAGCAAAACTATGCATTTCGACTTGTGACTGTGTCATTGCGTTGTTTCTATAAATGTGCCGTGCAAACCACCTAAATGTTAGAGGCCCTTCTGTTTTTCCCTGCAGGATCATAACTGAAAAGACAACGACCACAGATAACATGCTGGTGCAATAATAATATTCAGCCATTACATGGTTCCCTGCGCTGCAGGTTCCGCAGTATAAAACTTAGCCTTCTGCTAGGGAGGTGAAAGTGTCACCGAGTACACGGCTGACCGATAAGCCGGAGCTCGCTGGTGAACGGTCACGGTGACCCAAGGGGTCCTGATATGCCCGTCCCAGCTCCCAGGGAGCTGCCTGCCCTGCCCCACGCAATAATATTCAGCCATTACATGGTTCCCTGCGCTGCAGGTTCCGCAGTATAAAACTTAGCCTTCTGCTAGGGAGGTGAAAGTGTCACCGAGTACACGGCTGACCGATAAGCCGGAGCTCGCTGGTGAACGGTCACGGTGACCCAAGGGGTCCTGATATGCCCGTCCCAGCTCCCAGGGAGCTGCCTGCCCTGCCCCACGCTGCTACCTCAAGCGGGAGCCAATACGTGTGGGGAACCGGCTTAAGAACCTGCTCCCCCGTGCGTAGTGGAACCATGTAACCACTGAAAATGTCAGCGGTGACACGATTATTTAATTAAACACATTTTAACGTCCCTACTTTATGCTGCCTCCCCAGGAGCAGGGCTGGAAGCCCCGGAGGCTTCACTGCCCGGCCACTGTGAAGCCGCCTGCCCAGGAGGTTGAGTGTCACCGACAAGTTGACACCCTGATCGCTCTAGCTGGGACCCTCAGGCAGGGTCCTAATGGGAGCTGCGATGATCGTTCTGAGGGGTAGAGCACAGATTGCCCCTTCTCTCTCCAACCCATGTGGCACAGGGAGGCACCTGGAGGGAGCAGCCCGATGCTCTGAGCTTTGGCAGGCAGGGAGCCTGCTGGAGGATCCCGCTGGGCTGCTGGCCGGGAGCTGCCTAGGTAAATACCTTCCTGCCAGAGTCGGCATGTGGCACCCACCTCCCTCCCACACCCCAACTCCCCGCCCCAGGTCATAGACTCATAGAATCAGAGAGCTGGAAGAGACCTCAAGAGGTCATCAAGTCCAGCCCCTGGCCCAACGCAGGACCAAGCCCAGCTCCATCCTCCCAGCCAGGGCTTGGTCAAGCCGGGACTTAAACACCACTAGGGATGGAGATTCCAGCCCCTCCCTAGGGGACCGATTCCCAGGGCTGCACTCCCCCACCCCCTCCCCGCCAGGGAAATAGTTTTTCCTGATATCCAACCTAGTCCTCCCCCACTACAATTTGAGACCGTTGCTCCTTGTTCTGCCATCCGTCACTACTGAGAACAGCCTCTCTCCATCCTCTTTGGAACCTCCCTTCAGGAAGTTGAAGGCTGCTATCAAATCCCCCCTCGCTCTTCTCTTCTGCAGACTGCATAAGCCTAAATAAGTCACCACCCCTCCTGCCCCAAATCATCACCTAACTCTCTGCACCTCCCTCTGGAAGCTAAAGGCTGCACACTGGGACATTCTTCCCCAACCACCACATCAGGGTCAGGGATGTGGACATGCCAGTGTATCTAGTGGGGGATGTGGCCTATCCCCTACAATCATGGCTGATGAAGCCTTACACGCGACACCTCAATCCCTCCTGACAGGCCTTTAATGCCAAGCTCAACAGGGCCCGTATCATGGTGGAGGGGGCATTCAGCTGGTTGAAGACCCCGTTTTAGATGCCTCCTCATCCACCTGGACCTCTCCGAGCGGAATGTTCCGCACGTGGTGGCAGCATGTTGTGTGCTGCATAATTTTTGTGAGAGAAAGGGAGAGGCTTTCCTGCCAGTCTGGATGGCAGAGGCCAACCACTTGGCTGGCCTGTACAAGCAGCCTCACACAGCTGCCTACCCAGAGGTCCATCAGGGGGCTGTCTGAATCTGGGAGGCCCTGCGGGAGAGCTTCCATCCAGAGGAGGACTAAAGTCTCCCTGGTGTGCCCCACCGGGGGCTTGTGTCTCATTTCACCTTCACATCCTTTCACTGACCCCTCCCTATCCCCCCTTCCTCATGTACACCCACATTCCTGCACCTATGCCTCCTCTAGACCCTGCATCCCAATCCCCTGCCCCAGATCACAACCCCGTCCTGCCCCCAAACTCCCTTTCAGACCCACACCCTCTCCTGTATCCCTGCCCCTTATCCCAAGCTCCGTTCTGCACCCAACCTCTGTCCCAGACCCCACACAGAAAAGTGCCACCCTTGACCACTTACCAAAATCTTGGAGTGCCCCCCCCATCACAAATTATTGCCCATCCCCGATATAGACACCACCTGTGCTGATGGGAGACCCCTGCCCAATAGCTTATTTAACGCCTCCAGGAGAGTAAGGCTACATCTAGACCGCAAGTCTCTTTCAAAAGAGGCTCTTTCGAAAAAGCGTCTAGACTACAACCAGTACTTTCGAAAAAGCAAGCTGATTTTTCGAAAGAGAGCGCTCAGGCAGTCTGGATGCTCTCTTTCGGAAAAGCACAGTTTGCATTACATACGCCTTTTTTCGAAAGAGCGCTTTTGAAAAAAGGCGTTATTCCTCTTGAAACACGGTTTTTCACGGTCGAAAAAACTGCCGCGGTCTTTCCATTTACTTTCGAAAGAACGTGGCAGCAGTCTAGACGCAGGGGAAGCTTTTTCAAAAAAAGGCCTCTTTTTTCGAAAAAACCCTGTAGTCTAGACATACCCTAAGGCTGTGTCTACACTGGCCACCTATTCCAGAAAATCAGCCGCTTTTCCGGAATAACTTGCCAGCTGTCTACACTGGACCCTTGAATTTCCAGAAAAGCACTGACGATCTACTGTAAGAAATCAGCCGCTTTTCCGGAAATACTATGCTGCTCCCATTCGGGCAAAAGTCCTTTTTCCAGAAAACTGTTCCGGAAAAGGACCAGTGTAGACAGCACAGTAGAGTTTTCCGC